GTGAATGAATATACAATAAGAACCAATATTATAAAATTAAACTGTGAGATATTTGAAATCATGATGACTATTAGAAATTAAACAAATCTGAAATGACACAAGAATAAACGTGTAAATGGGAGAGAATAGGAAGCAACAGAGACAGACCCAGATGTAAGAATTTACTGTAATAACAGATGACATTTCAAATCACTAAAACCTGAACAATTGTTCTATTTATGGGGTTAGGATATTTGCTCATGATTAGAAAAAAAAGATAGAGTTAAATCACAGTCTCATGCCTTACATTGAAATTAATTCCAATATAAAATATTAAAAAATTATACAAGAAAGAAAAATTAGATCTGGTGGGTGGTGTTGTTTTCTTACCTAGAAAGAGGACATCTTTTAAAATTATAATGTTAAAGAGTAACCATATACAAAGTATGATAAACTATATAAAATGTAAAACACTATATAAAAAGCAAAGACAAACTGAAAAAATTTATAACAAATACATTACACAAAGTTATATTATTCATATAACCATGTATAAAGTAAAATAAAATGTTCATTATTTTATTTGGTATTATAGCACAGAATTCCTTTATTGGTACAGTAAAGACATAGTGCTACTCCTTTAGAAATATTGGTTGATGCAGGGGTGGGAACCTCAGCCAAGGTAGCCCAAACAGCTGAACACTGACCAGCAATCAAATGGTGTTAGCTAAGCCAGGGCTAAGGAATCCTCCCTGGAATGTCTCAAATACCAACAGGGACAGTTGTTACAGAAAGTGTCACTTTCTGTCTAGATACATAGAGAAAGCTGATCTGAAAAAATGATACTGATATGCCAGGACAAGCAGAAACACACACACACACACACACACACACACACACACACACACACGAACACACACATATATAATAACTAGAGGCCCTGTGCACAAAATTTGTGCACGGGGGAGGGGAACCTCAACCTGGTATGCCCCCTCTCCAATCCGGGACCCTTCAGGGGACATTCCTCTCGCTATCTGGGACTGCTAGCTCCTAATGGTTTGCCTGCCTGCCTGCCTGATTGCCCCTAACTGCCTCTGCCTGCTGGCTTGCTCGCCCCCTAACTGCTCCCCTGCTGGCCAGATCGCCCCTAACTGCCCTCCCCTGCTGGCCTGATTATCCCTAACTGCCTCTTCCTCGGCCCCTGCCACCGTGGCTTTGTCCAGAAGGACGTCTGGAAGATGTCTGGTCCAATTAGCATATTACCCATTTATTATAGTACTAGAGGCCCAATGCACGAAAATTCGTGCACCTAGGGGGGTCCCTCAGCCCAGCCTGCACACTCACAATTTGGGACGCCTCAGGTAGGGTCCCTAGGCCTGGCCTGAGATCAGGGCCTATCAGGGCTTTCATTCCCCCAGCTGCAGGCAACTGGCCCACCCCTGCCGCTGCCAATGCTTGCCATCTGTGCAGCACTACCCCCCCTCCCCTGCCACCAGTGACCTCCCTCTGCAGGCGACAGGGTGGAGTGCAATCCCTTGGCTGGCCTAGGACTCCCTCTTTCTTTGCTGGGAGGCAGGGCCAGCCCTGAGAGGGGCTGTCTGCCTACCTGATCATCCCTAACCACTGGCCTGCCTACCTAATCGCCCCTAACCACTCTGCCTGTCTACCTGATTGCTCCTAACCACTCTATTGCTTACCTGATCTCCCCTAACCACTCTGCCTGCCTGCCTGATTGCACCTAACTGCTTGCTTGGGGGTAGAGCCTGCCCTGTGAGGGGCCGTGGTGGTCTGGTCTCTGGTTGTTCTGGTTGCGACACCTCTGGCCTTTTATTATATAGGATAGATAAAAGCACGATATGCAAATTGACCGGACAGCAGAACAACCATCTGGATGACCTTCAGGACAACCACCTATGACACACACTGGCACCAGACCAGCCAAGGCAGGTGCAATGAGATTGGTTGGGGTGCCCCACCATTGCCCCACCATTGCCCCACAGAGGGAGGCCCAGGCCACCCTCTGCAGAGCGATCAATGGAGGGGCTCCACGATTGATCACCCCAAAGAGGGAGGCCCAGGCTACCCAGCCGGTGGTGCTGTGGCAGGTGGGTGGGGCCTCCCTCTGCTGGGCAATTGATCTCAGAGCCCCATGATTGATCATCCTGCACAGGGAGGCCCAGGCCAGCGAAGCAATAGCACCCCATGCCTGTTGCACGCAAAGGGAGGCTACCAGTGGCGTGGGAGGGGAGGACAGCACCACACAGATGGAAAGCAGTGGCAGCAGCAGGGGTGGGGCTAGCTGCCCACAGCCAGGGGAAGGAAAGCCCTTATAGGTCCTGATCGCCGGCCAGGCCTAGGGACCCTATCCAAGGGGTCCCAGATTGTGAGAGGGTGCAGGCCAGGCTGAGGGACACCCCACCTCCAATGCATGAATGTCATGCACCGGGCCTCTAGTAGTACTATAATAAACTCAGCTTTTAGGAAACACAATAGCAAAAATACTCTATTAATATTTGAATGAGCCAAGAAAACAAACGTATATAAACATTCATATATAACCAAAATTCACTGGTAACACTGTGAAAATCAAAACTCACTTAAATAGTGTAAATTACTTAACATTTTTAAAAGTCAAACTTTGCCCTAGCTGGTTTGGCTCAGTGAATAGAGCATTGGCCTGCAGACTGAAGGGTCCCGGGTTCAATTCTGGACAAGGGCACATGCCCAGGTTGCTGGATTGATCCCCAGTAGGGGCATACAGGAGGCAGCCAATCAATTATTCTCTCTCATCATTAATGTTTCTATCTCTCTCTCCCTCTCCTTTCCTCTCTGAAATCAATAAAAAAATATTTTTTAAGTTAAATCTTTCTTATTTTACTGCAAAGTATTCACTGGGGTAGATGAAAGGGATTCTAACTCAGGTCAAAAAGACATTTTGGGAAAACTTTCCCTTTATGAAATTTTACTTAAGAAACTTCACTTTCATTGTTAAGTATCTCTAAGATTTTTCAGTGTCTGGCTTGTTATATAGAACTGTCAATACTTGCTTTAAAGGGAAATTTGAGTTATTTCCATCTATTTTCTCTAAAATATTTAAAGGGGGAGTTAATCCTCATAATCTCTGACTAGGACATATAAATCAAATTCTTCACTTTGTACTCACAAGATTTCCCTTCTGAAGCATATATATTACTACAATTTGTAATGATGGAAGAATTTTATTCCATAAAACCTACATTTGTTTTATAAAGAATTGAAAGGTAATTATCATATTTAAGACAGATAAATTTAATCTTTTCAACATACATATGTTTGAATGATTTGCCAAAGCATTCTAATTTTAAATTGCATTTATCAAATGTATCTATACTTCTATACTAATTCACATGAATAATATATATTTTAAATTATTGAAAATCATGTGTTTTTAATGAGTTTTAACAGTCATTAATATTCTTTATCACATCTCCCCAATGATGAGCTAATCACTGTGTTTATTTGCAGTTAAAAATATAAAATGCATTCCCCATTCTTGATGACTTTGAAACATAACTCTTGGGATATAGTCTCTGTGTGAAATACATAAAATGAATTGCCTGTCAAACAGTATGCAACTTTCCTGTAATGAAACTTTTCTCTACAATAACATCCATCTTCTATTACCTGATGGGCCCAAAATAGTCAAGCCTTCTAACATTGTTAGATGTTATTTATCTTGAACTTGTGCCAGCTTCAGGTACCACAGAAAATGGGCAGGAGGCTGCAAAGAGGACATACCTACACACACATGCACAAAGTCTAACATTATAGAAGAACCTCAGAGGTGGGTAAATATGTTAGGCTTCCCTAGAACAATGCTTTCTTTGACGAGGTCTAATGTAAAGTATGACTGTGGCTTGAGTGAGATGCCAGTCAGAGATAACATAATTCAATTTAGCCGTTATTTATTGTGGATCTAATTTTGAAAATAGTGACAGTGGGCCTATAAGATAGAAAGTCCAATCTAACTATGTGAAGAATATACTGCTAGATATTAGAGTATGAAAGATTGTGTGGAAATTTGTAAAAACATATTGAAATATCTATACTTTTACTTCCTTACTTGAAATTCTTATGGGGTGATTGGGTATGTTGATTTGAATTTTCCCATGAACAAAAATAAATGAATGAGTGAGTGAATGAATAAATAAATGAATAATAAATAAATAGCTCCATAAGATTAATCATTAACTTTAGTTCACATATGCTATAGTTTTTCCCAAACTGTTTTCACTTTTTGAGTTGATTATTATATTTATGATTTGATATCAGCTTTGAACCCCATGATGCCATAGATTTTTTTCCAGCACTTACGGACAATTGATTTTGCTGTTGGCAATATGAAGCTGCCTGTCACATGTAAATATTTTATTCTCATTTGTACGTAAAGCAGATAGGCATCACTTAAATTATTTATAAAGTTGTATTCATTCTGTTAGTTACTGATTTATTATTCTACTTCATATGATGTTAGTAGTCTTGATCCACTAGCTGCCTTATTCACTTCTGTTTGTAGTCTAATTAAGGTAAGCTAGAAGGAAGAGTGGTAGCCAACATGTGCCTAGAATATGAATTTATAATGGCACAATAAGTTTTAAAATAGCTTACAGAGAATATCCTGGCACATGTAGCAAATATACATAATTAAAATTCATTCTTATTTTAATCATATATTCTATAAATTGGGAAACATTTCAATGTGTGAAAAGTAATGACACTTTTGTTAACCAAGAACACATAATTAATATCTCAAGAATGTTGTTTATGTTTGTATCTTTGCAAAATTTAGGGACATTTGGGTAGAAGAACAAATGTTTATAGTCACAGAGGATATATATAATGCTAGTAAGTGGTTTTGACAAGAGAGGGGATTCGTATCGCCTGGATATGCTGTTGCCATAGGTAAGTGGGAACATGATCAGCTCTGTCCTTGTCACTCTCACAGGGCACTATTCAGTTCACAACACTGAGAAAGCACTCACCAGCCTGGTCAGAAGAGAAAGGATACGCTGCATTCCACTGGGTACCAAGCCCCTGTAGGGAAGAGACAGCTCTCATTTTACTTCATGTTACTAGTGTCTAGTTCTAGTCAATGTCCAGAACACAACAGACATCTATACAACTTTCATAGTTGATGTATGTTTCTTTTCCAGCAAGAAGTCCCAGATCTTGGTTCACGTGGGGTGAGCCAGTGCCCAAATCCCAATGGAATGTCAGCACCATCCTCTAGATCAGCGGTTCTCAACCTGTGGGTCGCGACCCCTTTGGGGGTCGAATGACCCTTTCACAGGGGTCGCCTAAGACCATCAGAAAACACATATATAATTACATATTATTTTTGTGGTTAATCACTATGCTTTAATTATATTCAACTTGTAACAATGAAAATACATCCTGCATATCAGACATTTACATTACGATTCATAACAGTAGCAAAATTATAGTTATGAAGTAGCAACGAAAATAATTTTATGGTTGGGGGTCACCACAACATGAGGAACTGTATTAAAGGGTCGCGGCATTAGGAAGGTTGAGAACCACTGGTCTAGACACTCATTTCAGTGCTCTGATCCCCTATCCTTGCAGGTCAAAGTGTAGTCCATGGGTTTGCAATTTAACAAGATTCCCAGGTGACTCACAGGCACATTCAAGTGGGAGAAGCACTGCCCTATGAAATATGTGCCTGTCATCAATCTCCAATCACCAGCAAGACGCAGCATACTGGGATCTTTACCCTTGAGAGCTCTACTCAGACCACTTGCCCCCAGGACTCAGAGCCCGCCAGTTCAGACACTGTTGTCACTTCACCCAGCCCCTATTGACACAGCAGCCTCACATCACCCCTATGGAGGCTTGACATAGGCCTCAGGTGTGGTGGTGGGATTCTCAGAGACTACCTTGTAGAAACAGACCTCTCTCAACAGCACCTTATGCCAGGATATAGTCCATTAATAATAGTTCTCACCTTGGAGGCAAGAGCGACACTTTAGAATGGAACGAGATGGCAGCATCTGAGAGAGAACAGAATGCTGTGTGAGCGACAGGCCCTCTAGCAATTGGGTTCTGTCCCAGGAGGCCTTCCCCGTAACAGGAACCAGTTAGTTAGACAGAAACAGTCAGTTAAAGCTGCCCAGGGACCCCATTGTGGTGGGGCCATTCTGTTCATGACACCATTTGTTTTGTTCACCAACTCCTCACCCCTTTGGTGAGTGAGGAAGTCCTGGCCTCAGATCCTAGACATGGCCATACATGACGCCTGACACTGGGCAGATGAAATGGTCACATACGGTCACAGCCCAGGAAGGAGGACATCATATGTCGTGCAGGGCCACACAGGGGTGTCACTCGGGATAGCTGGGGTTGTGGGAGGCAGGCTTTGTAGTGACAAGATATCCACGTTCCCAATAAGAGGATGTTTATTTGTCTAATTCCTCACCTTGGATCCCATTGGGTGAGTCCAGCTGGTCCGGCTGAAAGGAACTAGCCAGAGGGAGTCTTCCCATTGAGTGCTGGGGGCTGCTGATGAGGGCAGATAAACTTACACTAGGCCTTGGGGCCCTCTGAGGCCCAAAGGTATCAACGTAGCACAGGAATCTTTAGTTCTTATACTACAGTACTTCAAGGGAGTCTACGAGAATTTAGACCTATGAATGGTAGCTAGTTATGTCAAGATTCTAGATGAAAATCGAAGAAAAGAAAACACCCATCCTTCCATTTCTACTCTACTTCTAAGAAAGGAGGAGGAGCATGTCTGTAAGTCCAATATTTCTGTAAATATCAGGAAACGCACCATGTCCTTACAATACACTGTCTGTTTTCTAAGACAGTCTTCTAGAAGGCTGGGGCTGACATCAGTGTTAGATAATTAGGCACCTATTTTTATTTATAACACAAATTTGTTATTACAGAAAATGGTCCCTTCATATGTGGGCAACTAAAATGTGGGTTCATCTTAGTGACTCTTATGTAGCAAGAGGAATACTGGAGGAAGCAAGAGAGGAAGAAGAGAGGAGGAAGAAAAAGGAATAGGGGAACACTTTAAAATTATACATGTGAAAATATTACCATTAAAAATCTGTTAGCAATCCCCCGTTTTGTGCACTTTGACCCAAAATATGACAATTTATAATTTCTGCATAAGTAATATATTAAGGTTCTAATGTTGTATTATATTTAGATTTTTCAAAAGAAGAACTAAATGAAACTGATTGAGAGGAGCAGTTCTAAATGAGCTCAGTGCTGTCAAGAGCAGTGTGAGCAGAGTTTGGAGGTAACGTGAAAGCCAACCCAAGGTGTGGGCTGACATCTCTAAGCACAGTGTGTCTCAGTGGCAGCATTGTTGAAATTATGGTGGAGGACTTCCCACATGCTGCAGGATGTGCAAGGTCCCTGACCTCCACGCACTAAGTATCAGTAGCATCCTCTAGTCATTGTAGTGGCACAAACAATCCTCCCCACCACATCCCACACATTTCTAAATAAATCAGAGAGGGGCAGTAAGTAATGTTTGAAAACACTGCTTGGAGCCACTGTTTTTGACCAAGTTCCCTTTGGATATTTTCCTTAGTTTAAATTTTTCCTGAAGTCTAGCAGATCATAGACTAATGAGCTTGGTTTATCATGCTCTTGTAAACATATCTTTTGTGTTTCTGTATATTGGTGAGAAGGCAAGGACATTCACATTAGTTATCTCAAGCAAGCTTCCGTATTAGTTAAGAAACCCAAAAAGATTAAAAAAAAAAAATCTAATGTTTACTGAACCCAACTGATAATAACTCTCCAAGGAGAGACAGGGATTCCAATCACTATTTATTAGTTTATTGTAACAAAAGTTAGCATCTTCAAGTGATATGCCTAACTTTAAGTGTAGAAGATGTTTTATACCATCTATAATAATAAAGAGTAATATGCTAATGAGACCGGACAGCCAAATGACCTTCTGGATGTCCTTCCAGACAACCTTCTAGACATCCTTCCAGATGACCTTCCAGATAAAGCCAGGCTGCAAGGGCCGAGGCAAGCTGCCGTGGCTGTGAGGGCCAATCCCCTTGCACAAATTTTGTGCATCGGGCCTCTAGTCCTATATAATAAAAGTGTAATATGTTAATTAGACCAGATGTCCTTCCAGACGACCTTCCTGACGAAGCCAGGGCTGCGAGGGTCAAGGCAGAGGCGACCGCTGCCATGGTGGGAGCCAAGCCACTTGCACTAATTTCCTGCATTGGGCCTCTAGTTTATAAATAATATTTGAGCTTCTTTATATCAGATCCTGTTCACAAATTAAAGTGTTTTTAAGAAAAGCTAGATCCTGAGGTTTAATCCATGAATCTAGGGTCTGAATAAATGACATTGAACTGAATGCTTTCATTATCACATTGCCGTTGTCTTTTCATTCAACAAAGACTCCCTCACCTCTGGACATTCAATTTTGCTGATTGCAGAAGAAAGAAAAATTACTTCTTTTGTTGCTTGTTATGTTTCTTCACACCCCTGAGATTGTTGTCACTTTACAAATTGAGTGTAAATAGAATTATGGGTTTGCAATTCTATTAATATTCATTTTCTATGCTACCATCATTTATTAGCTTGGGGAAGCTCTATTATTCAAATTGTGAGATAGCATGGAGACTTGGATGATTACAAAAAGTGACTTTGTTCTTAATAATAAAGTATTTAATAATGTGAAAGAGTTACTGACACTGAGTAAAAGTTTAAATTTAACAACACATATTATGCTCTGACTGAGTTTGCAGTCTCTAAATCGATCAATTCTCATTTCAATTTCTGTCCACTAAGTAGAAAGGTCATAATATTGTTGTAAGTCTTTTCATGCATTCATGATAACATGATGAGGCTATATTTGGCTGGGGTTCCAGATCTCATTATCCCCTATCAACCCTAAAAGTGCCACAGATTTTCAATACAAATATAGAAAGGGGACATCTTTGGGTAATTTACTTGGTGTATAACCTTTATGATCTCACAATGAGCCAGGTTGAGGGAACTGAAACAATAAGGGAGTTTTTTTGTTTAGGTGCAAAAAATCTATATAGCCTTTTCTAGCCCCTCCAGATCAGCACTGCCCAATTAAAATATAATGTGAGCCACTTGTGTGATTTAAACTTTTCTAAAAGCTACATTAAAAATTAAAAAGTAACATGTGAAATTTAATTACCATTTCATTTAACCCAACATATCCCAATATTCTCTTTTCAACTAATAGTCACTTTCGTGAGATGTTTTAACATTCTTTCTTCATACCATCTTTGAAATCCAGTGTGTATTTTACATTTACAACACATATTGATTTGGACTAGTCACATTTCAAATACTCAATAGCCACAAGTGGCTACTGGCTCCCTTACTGGTCAGTGTAGCTTCACATCTACTACTATAAAGAGGAGGAAAAGGAAACCAAAGGGTAAAATCAAAAGAGAAGAGAGCAATCAAACCAACAGAGTCAAATACACTTCTAACATTCACATCATTGAAACTATGGTTCAATGTCCTCAGTAGACTAGACTAGATCAGTCCAAAGCAGCTTTTCTTAAGGGGCTCGGGAGATGGTGAGAGGGAACAAATGCAAGAAGGGAAAAGAGCTATGAGCCGCTCTAAATGGCCACATATTATACTAAATATAATGGAATAAGAATAAGACACACTAACAACTCTCCAAGAAATCACAACGTGAGACTATTTTAGTTAATTTACAAGATATTAGTAAACTCAAACTTTAGTAATGAGTTTAGTAACACCCACAGCTCCTAAATCAAAAATAAACAATGACAGTTTAGTACTTAAATTTTTTAGGCAAAATTAAAGAGTTCTAATGTCCAAATGCATCATGAAAAAAATTTTGAAAATTTATGCCCAGCATAGGGAATATAGTTAATATTTTGTGCAGTGACAAATGGCTACTAGACTTAACCTGGTGATCACTTTATAAGGTACATAAATGTCAAATCAGAATGTTCTACACCTGAAACTAATATTGTATGTCAACTATATTTTAATAAAAAATGCAAACATATGTATGTTAAATAAAAATTAGAAGAAAAATGTTATCTAGTGGAAACCTATTGCTGCCTTTTAACCCTTCAGAATACAATCCTCACAGTGTAGTTTGTCTTTTTTTAGTTAAGTGTGATGTATGCTGTGCCTAGCAGTGCAACAGTGAGTATTTTAACAAATCGAAAAGACTTTACTAATTTATCTGTGGAGTTCTCACCAATAGCAATGAACCTGTATTTCCCCAAGCAAGTACAATCTCAAAACTGCCAGGAAATTAAAATACCCATTGAAAGGTTCTGTCTACTACTTAAAATGTTTTCCTACTTATTTATAAAACTTTTAAAATGAAAAATTCCAAGATTATAAACAGAGTACTTAGAAATCTAGCTTAGAGAGTCCAGACACAAATAACAATACAACTCCCAAATTACCAATTAGAAGAGATAGTATGGATTGAATCCTTGAGGGTAACTAAGTATATTCAGATTCCTGACTGACCTGCCATTGGAAAAGCACCCCAAAAAATGGAAAATGCATTTTCCCCTGAAAAAATGATATGTAGTTCTTGAATACAGAGCATACTTTCAAATAACCACTATAAAGCATTTGACGTAAAGAACCACCTTCGTATGCCATAAAATAATTTAAATAGTCATTGTTAGAAATTATAACAACATCATGACAACAATGAAGGTTTTTAATCTCTCCCAAACTCTTTTTAAAACCAAAAATTTAAAAAAGGCTTCAAAGCACCAAAAATAATAAATGAAAAAAACAAAGGAGACAGCACAAATGGACTCCCAACATAGATGGCAGGAGACCCCCCACGTGCCAGAGTGCTGGTGAGTGTGGTTGAGTCAGCATCAGTATTAGAGTTTGAGGAAGATCAGACTGTTTGTGGTGGGAGAAGAGGCAAGTTAAAGAACACTGCTGTCTTACCCTACAAACCCCAGGTGGGGAAGCCAATTAATACTGATCTTAAAAGAGAGGACATCTCCTGAGTATGCAAATAACCTTCAAATGAGTATTATGCCCCAAATTTGTTAGCAAGTACAAAAAACTATGCACAACTACCTACAACTAGTAGAATCGTCAAAATCCAGAACACTGAGAACACAAAATGCTGGTGAGATCATGGAGCATCAGGAACTCTCATTCATTAGCCTTGGAAATGCAAAATGGCGCACCCACTTTGGAAATCAGTGTGACAGTCTCCTAAAAAAACTAAAGATGCTCTTACCATATGATCCAGCAATGGTGCTCATTGGTATTGACCTAGTGAGTTGAAAACCTATATACGCACAAAAATCTGCACATGGATATTTATAGCAGCTTTATTCATAATTGCTGAAACTTGGAAGCAAACAAGATGGCCTTCCGTAGGTATTTGAATAAATAAACTGTGGTCCATCCAGACATTGGAATATTACTCAGCACTAAAAATAAATGAGCTATCAAGTCATGTAAAACTATTAAGGCACCTGAAATATATACTAGTAAGTGAAAGAAGCCAACCTGAACAGGCTACGTTAGCATAAATTAAATATGGAAGAAAAGTGCCCTTCATTGTTTCCAGGACCCAAAGAATAAAAAGGTCAACAAAGGAGGGCAAATATCACTTATGTGCTCAGTTTTAGCAGAATAAGATTTCCAGGAGATGTCTGAATGTCTGCAGGTGGCCATCAGCACAATATTCTCTGTTTTGTAAACTGTGTTAGGAAAGCTTTGAGCTTCTCCTCCATCTTGCTAGGCAATCTCTAGAACATCGGTTCTCAACCTGTGGGTGGCGACCCCTTTGGGGGTCGAACGACCCTTTCACAGGGGTCGCCTAAGACCATCGGAAAACACATATATAATTACATATCGTTTTTGTGATTAATCACTATGCTTTAATTATGTTCAATTTGTAACAATGAAATTGGGGGTCACCACAACATGAGGAACTGTATTAAAGGGTCACGGCATTAGGAAGGCTGAGAACCACTGCTCTAGAATGATCTCACAACAATACCACTTCAGCTTCTCTCATCACCATCTCTCAATCAGAACCTGCCCATCATGGTTCTATATGTATTTGTATCTGCCCACCCTCCCTCACCCCGCCACCTGTTCTTTTAGATCAGATTCTTTGGGGGGAAAAGTGATTATATTCTTCTGTTGACATATCATCATGACTTTCATCTTAACACATATTAGCATTACCTAATATATCATGATGACTTTCTTTTGTTAATATTGAATGTTTCCTTATGTGTTCTGAAACTAAATTGTCTGCAGTTTCCTCCTGAAAATTACTGTCACTGTCTTATCAATTGTTTCCCTTTCTATACAGCGGGTGTAAGTTGCTACAAAGTGAATTCTTCACAGTAGAATGTATCTCCATCTCTAGCCACAAATCTATCGTTTTATAAGAAATCAAAATTCATTTCCAAATAGACAAATTTTTGTATTTGACATCTATGTCATAGTTGCTACATTACGATCTCTATCCGAAGCTTAAACTTGAAAAGAGATTAGAAAACCACTTATTTCCCCAAATTCTTTAGTTCTCATTTCAAACTTTAAAAATGTAGAGAATAGTCAAAGCAGATGAGGGAGCATCATGTAAACACATTAAAAACAGCAGAAAGCATCACTTTTAGTAATTTCTCAGAACTGCTAGACTATCATGACATAGAAATGCAGTAGTTGTGCTAATGTATTTAAATTCTCAAAAATCTTTTTAGAGATTTGCCTGCTGTGTAGATTAAATCATGAAACTATTAAACATGGGAAGACACTAATTCTGGGAGGTAGGATGTAATGCCAAGTTCAGCAACTTTGCTTTGGAGAATAACGAAGCCAAGATCATCATTCCTAAACGCAGTCTACTGAAGACTGGCTTCTCTCTCTCCATTGTTCAAGAGCAGATGATGAAATGTCAGCCCTTTGAAGTCCTGTGTACCCATGTTCACCTCAATTCCAAAAGATCTTTCCATTTTCAAATATAGTATCTCACACATATGGCTTATTCATTCTATTCAGAAATCAGAGGCCAGGACACTGTTAAATATTTTGTTCTGCTTTATTAAGTTGAATATACTAGTTTAATTTGTTTGATAATAAGTTTTACGGGATCATGATTTCTGGAAAATTTCAGACATTTGTCTACACTAAAGTGCATGTCTTTCCTAAGCCCACATTTTCATTTTGACAGTTATATATGGTGGGAATGAGGGAAAAGAATTGTGGATGCCCTTTGAAGACTACTCAAGAGAGCAGACACTATTTAGTTTCTGGGCAAGCTCGACGCCAGCATGCTTCAAGGATTTCTCGATGTTTTCCCGGTGAAGGATGTAGCGGTCTTTGCCTGCTGCAAACTGTGAGCTTTGAAAGTGCACAGGGAATGGAATCTTTTTGCTACCAAATATATTGGAAAACCACAGAGATGATTAAACTTAGTGGTTTTATGTGTTTTATCAGCCAGTGACATCATGACAGATGAGAACGTTCTGCCAAGAAAAGTCAAAATTTCTTAACATTAAGGATTTCACAGACAAATCACATGAACTAAATGTCATTTAATCTATACAATGATTTGAACATAATCCAGACCTCAGGCAAAAAATAAATTTAAAAATCCTCACCCACCAAGCTCATTATAGCAAGATGTTTGATTCAGAGCAACACACTGTCCCAGTTTGCAAACTATTAAAAGTTAAATAAAATACTTTTGATATGTTCAAAAAAGGATACATTCTTTCTTTTTACTATCTCATTTGATGAAGCATCAAACTCCCTACTGGGAAAAACAAAGAATTCTAGTAAACAGTACCTTGCTTTTAATGGTCCTCTTTTATCTATGAATCACAAAGTAATACAGGAATAAGTAAATTAGTTGAATGATGTACGCAAAGCACAGATCATTCTACCAAAATTGCTTAGAAATAAAAACTCGAGGATAAATGAGTGCAAGGGGAGATTAAAGCAAGTCAGTGGAGCTCCACTGAGACAAATAGCATTACACTTGCCAGGGAAGGGCTGTTTATTAAGTGTAGTCATTTAGATAAAATACAATCAAACAAATAAAAACCCAATGTGCTCTTCACAATTTTCCTGTTAACACTGAGTTAATCTTTAGAGGATCCTATTCAAAAACAAGTTCCTTAAAAGCCATAGTGGGTGGACAATTGTCTAAGAGGACAATGACCCAGGGCTCCTAAATGGGTTCAATGAGCAGAATGAGGCCATGATTGGGTGTTTATTTATGAGACACCGAAGAGCAGCTGCAGGGTGTGTGCCACTTTCTCAAGGGGTTCCGCCTCCAGCAGTTGTCTAGACCAGATGGAAGTGACAAGCTCCACTTCATAATGTCAGAGCATCAGCATGGTCATAACAGAGTCCCCAGCAAGTCTCCTATGGAGCAGGAGCACCTGTTTAAATGCACCTCTTATTTCTCAAACTGTCATTTTAATTTGCAGCTCGCACCTGAAAGGTAGTACACCTTGGGGTTCAAAGCTGCCAGGCTGCAAGCTGCAAGTCAAACATGACTGTTGGAAGAGTTCAAATCTCTGTGGTGGAATCTGGGCAGTTTTAAAACTTTCATGTGTCCGAAGCTTGCTTTAAAAATGATCCAATCCATCTTCTTTTTAGAAGGAATATATATATATATATTTCAGTTGGCATCTTATTTGGCTCTGGCTTCATTCTAGAACCAAGCTGATTAGCAACAGACTCATTACCCCCTTTAGTTATTAGAAACAGACTCACTGTGCCTTCTACTTTCTCTCAGTAGCAGAAATCTAGGCTGAAAAACTAAAGATTTGGCTCTAGCCTGTGGCTACAACTTCTTCACAGAAAAGAGCATTTCATCTGGAATCTGGAGCCCCTTGCTGTTCATTATGGGAGTTCATTGGTGTCTCTAGACATCTATGATGGTTTAGCAATGATCGTATGTCTCATAGGAGAGGAAAAATTACTTTAAAAAATTGGAACTAACACATAAATCTAAAATCAAAGATAACTGACATCACTAGAACATCGATTCATATTACTCTGCTATAAATCTTTCACAGTAGACACACTCTCTCTCTCTGAACCAAGACATTCAGCACAGAAATGAAGCAAAAGCAGAAAAAAATATTATTTGGATGATGAATTCTACACGAAATTTATGGTATAGCTCAGTTTTTCTATTACAGGTTTTATTAGGAGTCTGGGATTAAAATTGGGTCCCTTCAGGATCTAATATACAGAAAATATTTCTTGTGCTTTTTCATTTTGGCTACAAACTTACCCACTAAGATTCTAATGCTAAATCCAGAACATGAAAAGGATTCTTTCTGTAGGAATATTTTTAAAGGGGAGTGAGAGGAAGTTTCATCGGCAGAGTTGGAGCGTTACATAAGTTAATTGGGCATTTGTCTAGTTGCCTATTTTTTATTTTATTTATTTATTTATTTATTTATTTATTTATTTATTTATTTTATTTTGGTGGAGGGCACGAATTTAGAATGTGGTGTCCTGTATCATGTTGACCTCTCTGCCTATGCTACAGGGTCTGGAAGGGTTCATTAGTCACAAATATGTATAACTGTTCTTTATCTTGTTTTAAATTTCTATCTATGTTATATTTATTTTTTCTTTGACAGAACCAACTTTTCTGCTCTAACATAACCAAAAAAAAAAAAAGAAATAAAGAAAGAAAGAAAAAGATGCAGAAAAATCATTGGGATTGTTATAAGGACAACTGATTACTTAGAGCAGCGGTTCTCAACCTGTGGGTCGCGACCCCTTTGGGGGTCGAACGACCCTTTCACAGGGGTCGCCTAAAACCATCGGAAAACACATATATAATTACAGATTGTTTTTGTGATTAATCACTATGCTTTAATTATGTTCAATTTGTAACAATGAAATTGGGGGTCACCACAACATGAGGAACTGTATTAAAGGGTCACGGCATTAGGAAGGTTGAGAACCACTGACTTAGAGTCTGAATGGCAATGCTGCTGTGGGAGCTCAGATTGTCATTCTATGGTTGAATTATGCATTATCAGGCGATCCACATCCCCAAATCATGCATGCCATTCCATTCACCGGCATCTTTGCTGTAAGAATAAGCTAGAGACAACATATTTTAGAAGACAGAAATGCATCGGTTTAAAGTAAATTATTACAATGATCACAGATAGAGCACACACACACACAAAAACACATTCTTGCTCATGCACTCTCCCAAACTCCCATCATAAATACTCCAAGGTCCAGGATAAAAGACAAATTAGCAGGTAGTCTAATGCAGGCATGCAAGGTACACCGTAGACTGCATTATGATCACCAGGAACCACCAGCTTTCTATGTTGGAACATATTTTTATCTTCCCAGCTAAGCAACTCCTACGGGGCCCACAGCCATCATTTTGCACAAACAGGCTTGCAGTGAATCACTTGTCATCCCTTCACAGCAAGCCCTGCAGTGCTATTTCCCTACTTATGAGAAGCAGAAGGAACTCATCAGACATATCTTCAGGATAAGTGGTGAAAAATAAAATGTTCCTCATTGTTATGCATTCGCCCAAATCACACTAAAGTATTTCTGAATATTATGTCACAGGGATTCAAAGTATAAAAGAAAAACTATGTTTCTTTGGTGGGAAATAGGCTATCTCTCACTTAGAGAAAAACTTAAGAACAGTATTTCTTTTTATAAAAAAAAATTTCAGATTCCTTTTTTTTTATTTTTGCCTTAACATTGGTTATTAGAATCAGTTCTCTCATATATATAAGAAGTTCATCATTTGTCAGAACATGACTAACAAATCTTTCTCTGAAAGGTAGAGTTGCTTTCACAATTAAACAAGGATTTGTTTGCTTAATACATCTATTTGGTTAACTCCTGATAATGGGAGTGAGACAATTTATTTTTCTCAAAAACATAAAAATGAGTATCATTTTTATTGTTTGATATTTGCAAGGTGGTTTACAAGTCATTAACACATCCTCCCAGTATTTGTCACTAATAACATTCTAATCTATGTCTGAGAAAGCAGAAAATAAAATATTTATACTGACTAAATGCCACAGACTAAATCTTGTGCAACACAGCATCACTCTTGAATTGAAGTAATTCATTACCTTTAATTTAAAGGTTTTCCAAAATAAATAAGAAATGGTAACCAGAACATTTTCAGATTGTTGTTGTTTTTTTGTGTGTGTGGTTTTTGTTTTGTTTTCTTTTGTTTGGATTTGGTTTTCAATATGATGTGATAACTACAAGTTTGTGGTAAAGTAAATTTTGCTTTAAAATTTCAAAGAAGAATATTTATTTTAAAATTTAGGTTATTTGCAGAAAATATTTATTATATGCTTTATGTCTGTGTATAATTAAAAATAAGGGTCATATTTTTATTTAATTATTCATGCCATCTTTTTGTTTTAAATAAATTAAATTACTTCAGAGTGTTCTTAGAGTCTATATTGATCCAGTACCCACCTGAGAGTCTTTAATACTATCTAATAAATGATATGTTACATAGATTTTATGATTGTTATCTACAGGGAACTTGTCTAAGTATACTAACTAGTAGTGTCATATTGAATTGCTCTAATCAACTGAGCTCCCCGGCCAGGCAGTAACATATTTTTAAAAAACAATTATCTGAGCCCTGGTTGGGGTGGTTCAGCTGGTTGGGCATAGGCCCATGCGCCAAAAGGTTGTCAGTTTGGTTCCCAGCGAGGACCTATGCTTGGGTTGCAGGATTGATCCCTGGTAGGGGGCATATAGAAGGCAGCCTAGGGCTGTTTCACTTTCACACCAATGTTTCTTTCTCTCTCTCCCTCTCCCTTCTTCTCTCTCTAAAAATCAATAACAACATAAAATAAAATATTTTTTTAAAAACACAATTATTTGAAGGCACTGGTTGGCAATCAAAATTAAGCCAAAACAAGAAATAAGGCCACGCTTAGCAGACAATTACACTGGGTGAGATCTGCATCTTTTTGGCACTCTCCAAACTAGACAGATCAGGATGGAAGAAAGCTACATTTTTTACTTCAAGCTTCAGGGGACAGAATTTCAGGTTGACAAAAAAGATTGGAACATTCTAGAGGAAAGGAAGGAGCTACACAAGGCTTGAACCTCAAAATCTGTGTTTAAAAATGGCCCCCGTCCCCCTGGACAGATCCGTTCCTGGGTCTTCATTCCTACGATGATGCCTCTTCTACAGTGAATTCCCGTCACTGTCTACCACTCACCCAGCACCGATGCTTCATTCACTGCTTTACTACCGGATGCTGTTGGGGACACAGAGAAGGAACTGATGTGTGGGTCACACACGATGAATACACTCCCACATTGCTATATAATTCTTCACTGTCAAATCCTCCTATTTTACCAAGGCAGAAATAGCACCTCAACTTCATTTGCCACAGGCATCTATTGCTTCTAGGAGGCAGCCGCAGTCCACACAAGCGATAGCACTCCCCGCTGCCTGAGCGACTGAATGGAACATAGAATCTCTGGTGAGGGCGGCCTTCGGATAAGTCCAGGTCAGCCAAAAGCTAGGCTTCTCTTTCCCCTGAGCTAAGGAGGGTGCGCATCCTAAGAAACACTCCCACATACATTTCCCAGAATTTTGATAGAAAAGACCAGCACCATCTTCGCCTTCCTTCTGTTATACCAGCCGTTTCCCAGGTCGGCCTCTGTAATGGACTCGTTGGGGCATGCTAGCGTGTGGAGGCAATGAAGTGTGGTTGAATAGCACATTAGGAGAAATTGCTTCTTCTTGCAGAGTGGCTTCCTCCGGCCGGATTGTCGCGGGGTATTCCACAGTTTTGTCACATAGAGAAGGCGAGACTGCTTCTGCTGATCAAGGATGCGTGGCCAGGCTCCAGAATTCGGCCATGTTGAGTCAGTTGGATGTTCCCAAGTGTCCCATTCTCGCCATCAGCTCCCCATTCTTTCCTGGTCAATAATCTGGCTTTGATTTTTTTTTATTTCCACTCTTCTCTGCAAAGGATATTACAGAATGGTAACACAGGCTCTGTGCTGTTTTCAAGACTCTGTACTTCACACTGAGATCTTAAAGAGTTAACTTCACTAATTTATTTCTAGTTAAACACATCCAGCGCACCCCGTGTATATTCCTGGCATGCTTCACGCATTTATACATGACCCCAAGGACTCAGTTTGCCACTGAGTGTTACAGACGACCAGAGACCTGTCCCACAGCAGGAAACCAAGCTCCAGTTCCCAGTTTCTTGAGATCTATTACTGTGCCACGGAGGGTTCACTGATGGAAGCAACAGAATACACGCTTTGCTTTATTTCGAAAATGAATTTATTTAAAAATTGAAATTACTACATGCCATTCCCAGAAGGGCCTCAGAATCAGCTAAAAGTCATCCATGTAGGACAATTCCCAAGCTGACCTGCCGGTCTAGTTCATGGTTAATTCCCAGCCCTTAGTCACTGGTGACTGATGCTGCCATGTCTGACTCTTGTCTCTGAAAGCTCTTTATCTCTCCCCCCATCCTCTACCAATCAGAGTTTCCTTGCCTTTCTCTCTTCCCAATCCACGTTTCATGTTGGTGTAGGACCAGGGTGGAAATTAAGTCATGCTTGAGCAGGAAGGCTGGGGAATTGGGTTTTACTGGGGTGACCAGGAGGAGTAGAGAAGTGAGAATGCTCCAAAGGGGAAAAAAAAAGCCATTTAAAAGGTGAACAAGCTACACATGTGACTGAGTCCTCTAATCGGCACAACTGAATGATCTGCTCAGACTTCTGTTTCTTGGTTGATCATGTTTAAATGTTACAGAATTTAACAGGCAACCGAACCATACACAGATCTGCTCAGACTTCTGTTTCTTGGTTGATCATGTTCAAATGTTACAGAATTTAACAGGCAACGGAACCATACACAGGAGGACTCGGAGGTCCAGGATAAACTCATTTATTTTCAGATGTTTCACATGTACCAGTGCAGTGACTCAGGGGGTCATTCTCCAAATCCTGAGTAAGCCAATATGGAGGAAGCTTCCGCTTTATACCCTTCAGTTTCTTTGTTTTCTATCTGCTTCCTAACTACCAGGCTTTTGTGGTGGCTTCCACAGCCCCTCCCAAGTCAGTCAGAATGGGGCAGTGAGATTGTGTCTAAATGCCCGTCTGGGTGGTGTCAGTGACCTCCCCTGGAGCTAAGCTGGTACATGCTTTGTTTATGGCGCCTCTGTAAATTGGGAGGAATTAGGAAAACAGGTCTTGCTAGACCAGATTGTGGAGAAAGGGGCAGTGACTTCATTATAGGCTATCAAGGATGCACATTAGGTTATGGCATAGATTCAGATTGCTAGCCCCCCAAAAATGTCTTATTTTCCCATCATAAAGAGTGTCCTCAGAGTAGATGACTGTGAAGTGGCGGACAGGCGCCTGAGGTGGAGGACACTGAGCATGCTGTTCTCCAGAACAGAGATCCTTCGCCCTTTGTTCCCTTTTCATATTCCTCCCACCGACACCTTTTATCCTGGACTCAGTAGGCTCTGCTTCTCTCGCTGTTCCCCAACCTTCCTGTAGGAGCTCTCTAGGCAGGCAGTTCCCTTGCTTTCCAGGGCTGCACTCAGTTTAAAATCTGTGGAGAGCCCGAGCTGGTTTGGTTCAGTGGGTAGAGTGCTGGCCTGCAGACTGAAGGGTCCCTGGTTCAAATCCAGTCAAGGGCACATACCTTGGTTGCAGGTTTGATCCCGCACATGCACATCGATGTTTCTCTCTCTCTGTCTCACCCTCTCCTTTACACTCTCTCTCTATATATATCAATGGAAACATATCCTTGGATAAAGATTAACAAAAAAATAAATTAAAATCTGTGGAGCATCCCAGCTATCCCTACAGGTTAGTGCACAGTGGAGGGAGCCGCTGTCCACATGTCCACACTAGCCCAGGTGATCTGACTGCCCTTCTTCAACTCACTTATCTGATTAAATGTCTCCCCACAGGTCTTTATTTTTTCACTCAAGGTTTAATGATATTCTGAATATGCTCTTATTTTTATGCATGTGAAACAGTGTTCTCATGTAGTTCCTCTTTTTCTTTTCAGAGCTATTTTGTTTTCTTATGTCAATTCTGTCCTCTCTGCTCTCTATATTCCGGGCATGTTTTGTGTTTTATAACATTTCTACTGAGGGCACCCTTTCTTGCACTAGATCTATGTTACATGTTATCATTCATACATTAAACAAAGCTGAGGTTTGGAAAACTGAAGCAGTTTGCCAAAGGCTGATAAGAGATGAAGTCAAGATTATAACTCAATAATGCTTAATCCCAGAGCCCAAGATATTAACTACTGTAGAAGATATTTCTCACACAATATGTAATATTATGTTGCTTTAAACACATTATTATCTTCCTTACAATCTCTATTCAGCATTCTAAAGATCTCTGTTCATTTGAAATTGTGAACATTTTCATCATCTAAGATTGGCTGAACCAGTATTCTACCTAGTTAATTGTAGTAGGCACTAAATTCTTATCTAACTACAGACCCATATATTTCCCACAGAATGATGTTTCCCAAGTATCAGTTTTTCTCTTCTGCTCAAAGAATCAAACCAAGTTTTCATTTGAAAATTTATTCTTCCCTCTGATTTCTTTAGATATTTGAATATAATGAAAAGTAAGTCACAGTTTGCCCTCCTCCCCGAGTATTAGAAGAAACCATCTTCCCCTCTTACAGGAGAAAAGAAAGCATTTCATTCAGATTTAGTAGACAGCATCACTAGAAAAAGGAGCAATCCTCCAATTTTCACCAGCAAAAAGATCTGTTTACTTCACTGGAGTAATTACTCCAAGTTACTGAAAAATGTGAGGTCGTAAAGCAGGAAGAAGAATCACACTCCGGGCTTCCTAAACAAAGGTAAACTAGAAAAAAATGAGTTGGCTTGGAATAAAACGAATATAGGAACCTTTGCATACACTGAAGTCAGACCATCTTGTCAAGTGGGTATCCGGACAAAGTTGTTTAGTCAATGTTCCTTTGTTTGTTTGTTTATTTTGTTTTTTATTAGACACACTAAAAACACTTAGCTGGCAATGCAATCTATCACAGAATCATGGAGATATAAAAGGACCTGAACAGTGAGTGACCTTCTGAAAGAGGCCTTGAAAGTCAACTGTCATGAAAAAAAGCCAACTGCCTATTCAGCCATATTTAATATGCAAATAAATACATCCCTTAAAAACTTGCTTGCAAATTTCTGCCTATTAAGCCTATTATTCCATTTATCTGCATTAAAAAAAAAACACTCAACGATGCATACCTACAGGAAAACAAATGTCCATGGGACAAAATTAAGGGAGTGTGTTAACCATTAAAATAACTTTTAGTAAAGAGAAGCAATATTTTTGCAAGTAACTCTTAGCAACATAGGTAAAATGCAACAGCATAACAGAATTTTAGCCTTTAAGATATGCAATAAACACAACTTTATTGCTGAAGAAGGTAAAACACTTAAGTATGAAAACATTGCAATTAATAAATTACTGTATTTTACTTCAGGAAAGAAGTAAAAACCAAAACCTCCAAATTATAAAAATTAAAGGGAAAGTAAGATCCAGTTAAAGGGAACATTTTTAAGAATTTGAAACCAGAGATATACATGTTTATCATCTAACAATACTGGAATATTTCTGAATCCTATAAAACATCATCAAAACCTTCAAGATTAAAGTTTATGGGTTATAAAGTCAAAAGGAGAGGATGCTTTAAAAGTACAAGAAGAGGGTCCATTCAAAATTATTAATTATAACTTCTAAGTGTCAATGTCTTAACCATGTCAAAAGTAGCCTTCAGATGTAGCTTAAATTTAATGATAAGAAGCTTACTTCTGCATTGCAAAGAAAGAAATAAAACACAGCTAAATATATATATACTAGAGGCCTGATGCACAAAATTTGTGCAAAAGTAGGCCTTCCTTCCCCCAGCTCAGTGGTTCTCAACCTTCTGGCCCTTTAAATACAGTTCCTCATGTTGTGACTCCAACCATAAAATTATTTTCGTTGCTACTTCATAACTGTAATTTTGCTACTGTTATGAATCATAATGTAAATATCTGATATGCAGGATGGTCTTAGGCGATCCCTGTGAAAGGGTCATTCGACCTCCAAAGGGGTCACGACCCACAGGTTGAGAACCGCTGCCCCAGCTACTGGCACCAGCTTCCCTCTGGCACTGGGACCTGGGATTCCCTTGCAGCCCTGGCTTCATCCGGAAGGACAGAAGGACATCCGGAAGGACATCTGGTCTAATTAGCATATTATGCTTTTATTATTTTATATATATATTAATAATTTTCACCTAAGGCCTTTCTTAAATTTTCGGCTAACAAAATTTCTCATAGTTTCACGCATGCTAATTTATAGCATGATGCCAACTGTTTTACACACTGTGAATACATTTAAAAATATATGAATGATATTTTAAAGGTGTATTTTTCATGCATCTATCCCAGGTGTGGGATCATATCTCTGGGCCTAAATATCCATATATGATTTAAGACCCATCAAATCCTAAATTATTGTTTTAATTTTTTTTTAATGAGTATGATATCACCTCACTTTCATTATCAGTCATGTAGAGCTATCAATAGTAACTACCTAATAAGATTATGGTAAGGAGCAAATAAAATGTTTAAAATACTACTCTATGGGTATGAGATGAGATGCTGATGACACTGAGACAGTGATAATTACTAAATTCTGCCTCCTACTTGAATCTATTCCTACAAGATTAGATATGCGTGCTTAGTATAAATTTACCAAATTTTGCAGTTAAAAACACAGGAAACCCATTTAAATTTGTATTTCTGATAAATGACTAATGGATTTTTAATACAAGCTATGCAATATTTGGGACATACTTTAACTGAATTTCAGATAAATAAGCAATATGTTTTCACTATAAATATATTCCGAATATTGCATGGGATATACTTATTCTAAAAGCACATCCATTGCTTAGCTGAAATCCAAATGACAGGGTGCCCTCTATTTTATCTGGCAAATGTAGTATAGCACAGGTCAGTAAATTTTAAAACTTTGTTATGAAAATAGATTTGTGGCATTATTGAATTAGTAATTTGAGACATATTAATGAATCTAATTGTATCACTATGTAATCAATCATTTGATAGTGTATAATATTGATAAGGCAATATTATTCAGTAGGAATTACACAGAAGTGAATCCTGGATCTATCTATCACGTAAGAGCTGTGTGACCTTGACCAACTTAATAACCTTGATGAGCATAGATTTATTCATGTTTAAGGTGATTATTAGGACTATTGAAAGGAAGGAAGTAACAGAGCATGACTGTCCTATGACAGAAAGTCACCACTGTGCATTTTCTCCTTCCCCTCTCAAACATAAAACAGTTCCTGGAAACAGCACCTGTATTGCTTTTTAAATTTCTATTGTAATTTGCAAATATGCATCTTACAAAGGTGAAATTAACAGACTGATTAAATGAGTTAGATGCTGAAAGAGGAACAAAAGAGAGAGGTCAAAAATAACTCTAAGGGGTGGGTAATGGAGGAGGAACTGGATCAAGTCACTATGAAATTGAGTGAATATAAAGGAAGGCATGTTTGAGAGGGAAGACAGCGAGTTTTAGACACAATGAGTTTGAAATAATAATGAATCTTTGTGGAGCCTCCCACTGGTCTCCTCAAACATGATCCTCATGATCTTAATTCCCTCATTTCATTATCATTACTCATCAATAAAGGGAATAATTCATGTAAAGCACTTGAAATATTATCTGGAACATAGTTAGTCTCAATTAGTATTGGCAATTATTCAGCTCATGCTAACTCTTATTATTTTTATTATCTTTTCAACTGGCCAATTGACACTGTGAAATCATTCTTGTCTCATTTTTAATATCTCCGATTTTTTTTATATAACTATCAAGTTTGTACTGATCAAGATAGGAAAACCCAAAATTCCCTCCTCGATCTTTCTTATGCCTACAAAAAACGTCCCTATTTTCTTGATCTCTTATTCAGACCCATAATATGTGTATGCCTAAAGAAATATAAGCATATTATCACATATATTTAACAGGTAACTATAATGAACTACTTACCCATACTCAGTACAATTTACAAAGAACCATATTATCTCTAATCAAAAACTCTTATTGCATAATCAGATATAAGATATTTAATTTCTATCTCAAAACATGTTAATAGACATGTCATTGATGTTCCTGCTTCCGTATGACCTCTTCTTTATTCAATTACTGGTCCTATTTGCATCCCATACGATGCCATACTTCTTTGTACCTTTTATTGTGATTCAATTGCCAAAGGCAAGTCTTCCATAATTCAACCCACTCAAATCAACATAAAACCTGATTGAAATTCTCTTGTAAAATCTCTTCCTTTGAAAGGAATTGAATTGTTATCAGTATAAAAGATAGAATCAGTACTGGCTTCCATTTTTTGTGGGTGTTTTTTTTTTCTCCAAAAAAAGCCTAAATGCTACTTAATGGCCAGTTCAAATGGATCATGAAGTCAGCAATCTATAGCTATCTAGGCCTCAAGTTCATTCATGTCGGTCAAAGGCTAAATCTGCTGTTGAAAATTACAGAAATGTAAAACAGATTTATTTACTTAAAAATATACTATTTCCTTACCATGTCCCAGGTACTGTGCTAGAATTAGAGAAAACACTTAACAAAGGCCAGCTTCATGCTTTATCTTTTAACTGGGCTGATGCCATTGTCCCAGTGCATGCTAGCTACAGTTTAGAGAAGTTGTTCAGAAATGTTGAGTATGTCTGTGTGTAGGAGAGGGAAAGGGAGAGATCAGTCCACAGTAGCATTTTCTCTTCGGACTCTGATTAAACAGACTGCATCAATCTTTGCCATGGTGCTGAAGAAATCGATGGTTCCATATAACCTGTTCTGCCATTTCTTTAGTTCTTCCTTCTACAGTCTCTTCAAATCTAGTGTCTATTTCAGAAACCTTGTCATAGTTCAATTTAGTGGAGTTAAATGCTAGTCGGGATTGAAAATGGCTACACGGGTAGTTTGGGTTTCTGCCTTTTTATCACCAAATCACCAGGGTCCCTTGAAGCTGAGATTATCTAGAAGTGTATAATAACACAGAAAACTGGAGGAAGAGGAAACAAGAGAATCCCACACTCAGCAAGCGTGTATAAAACTAGAGGATGGAGCAAATGAGTAGACATTTTCATGGCAATGTGTGTTCATCTTTCATCAGTTATACAAAAGCTGTTTCATGTGTGCTATGATCACCTTATTTCTTACATGAATGTATCTGTGCAAAGTTTCTTATTTTCTTTAATGTTAAGTCATTAGAAACACTGTGTTAGCAATTTGAGGCAATGCTCAAAGTAACAGTTGACAGGGCTCTCTACCGATGAGTCAATATCACTAACATTATTCATCACAGACTCTTTTGCTTTATTAACTTATCAGCAAGATGACCTCAAACACTATATATTACAATAAAACATAAGACATCAATTAAAGACAAGAATAAAGGGGGGAAAGGTTATGCTTCTTTTCTTCACATTTCTAATTTTCTCACATTCCTCTCCACACCTAAATCCAAAATGAAAACAAAGAGAACTTTAACACAAAAATATGTAAGCTTCCGTAGACCTCCTAGCTCAAATGCCTGGAGAGAACATAGCCTCCTTTCTACAACCGTCTTCCATGAATATTAATAGGTGATCCCCGTGACTCTGTGCTTAAAGCTCTCTTTTGCCCACAGATCTAATCAAGTAAGGTCTCATGAAAACTGTTTAATAAGCCCTTTGCTTCTGCTGACATCTTCAGTCTGTACCACTCAGCCACCAACGCCCATTAAGAAAGTGTTCCAAAGGCCCACTTTCATATGCAATTCTATTCTCTAAAGATTTGTTGAGGGCTTACTATAGGACCCTATGTTTAAGTAGCTCAGAGTCTAGAAAGACAGATCGATATAAAAGGCAGAAATGCAGTGCAGTGTGAAAGCTTCGGAACTAGCAGTCTGCATAAGGTAGAAAGGTAAATGAGAATGTGAGTGGGTAGGGAAAGTGTTCTCAGAGTAATTGTCATCAAATCTTAGTTTTAAAGGATGAATAAGGATTTGTCAAGGGGTCGAGAAGGAAAAGTTCTTTCAAAAAAAAGAAAATAATACTGTCTTTTTCATTGCAAACCATGGTTGTGCAAATGAATGTAAATTAACTGGGGATCTAAGAGACTAAAGTGGAGCAACTGGGGACTGAAAAGTAGAATATGAGATGGAAAAGTAAATATGATCAAAATTGGATTTTATCCACTTGGCTGGTGTTGCTCAGTGGTTGAGCATCGACCTATGAACCAGGAGGTCACAGTTAAATTCCTGGTCAGGGTACATGCCTGGGTTGCTGGCTCAGTCCCTGTAGGAAGCATGCCAGAGGCAGCCAATCAGTGATTTTCTCTCATCATTGATGTTTCTATTTCTCTATCCCTCTCCCTTCTTCTCTGAAATCAATAAAAATATATTTTTTTAAAAAAACCTTAACTATTGAGGTACAAGGAAAAATAATTACAGCAGACTTCCTACCAGAAAAAGTGAAAGAATACAGTAGAATTAATATTTTAAGTGTTGAAAGAAAAACACTACTAACTTAGAATTCTATATCCATTGTAATAATTCTTCAAAAGTGAATGGAAAACGAAGACTTTCTCAGACAATAGAAAGCAAGCTGACAGTTTTCAGGATGGGGAAGGGGGACTGGATGGACTAGGATGAAGGATTAGAACAAAAGAAGAAAAAACTCATGGATAGGGACAACAGTGTGGTGATTGCCTGGAGGGGAGGAACAGATGGGGAAAGGTGGAAGAGGTTATAGAGGGGATAAATGGTGATAGTCGAAGACTTGACTTGGGGTGGTGAACACACAATACAGTATAGAGATGATGTGTTGTAGAATTGTGCACCTAAAACCTGTATAATTTTATTAACCAGAGTAACCCTAATAAATTCAATAAAAGGGCAGGGGGAGTGGAACCTTATCTATTCTGAGGCCAGGAAACACTTTCTAAAACACATGTCAAAAAATATAAAAATAAAAATAAACCTGAGGGATTCATCGCCAGTAGGCTGCCAGCAAGAAATATTAAAAGAGGTTTTTCAGGAAGAAGGTCAGCTATAGGTCAGAAATTTTAATCATCATAATGAAAGAAAAGCATCAAACAAAGAATAAATGAAAGTAAAATATAATCTTTCAGTTTTCATATTCTTAATCTAAAAGAAATCAGTTTGTCTAAAACAATAATAGTATCAGTGCATTGGATTATACTATATAGATAAGTGAAATGAATGACAGCAATTTCACAAGAAATGGGAGTAGGGTAAAAAAAGGAGAATAATATTATAAGGTATAGGCACTACTAGTACATGGGAGGTGGCACAGGGTTTTCTGAAGGTGAACTTAGATTAGTTAAAATGTATATTGTAACTCTGGGGAAACCACTAAATTCTTTTAAAAAAATAGAACTGATATGTTACAAAAGAAAAATATAATCAAACTAAATGCTCAGTTAAAACCATAGAAAGGAGAAAAAAGGAAAATTAATACTTAAAAATTTTTTCTATATATTGGGCCTATCTCTAAACTTTCATTTTTTTTATTTTTTGAAGCAGTTACATTAAAAATACAAAATTTTTATTACATTTGTAAGAATCTTATTAAATAATTTAGGAAAACAACGATATCTTGGTCATAATGAACTTTCTTTTGTTCCATTTAGTGAAGTCATATTTCTCTCCACGAGATTTTATGGATTTATAGCTTACACATTTTTAGTTCAGCTAATTTGTTAGGATTTCTACTTCCATTGCTGTTATACAGTAATCTTCAACCATTTAGTTTTCAAACATGTCAATCAGTTTCTAAAATTTTATTTGAGTGTATTTTTCACGTAGTCAACAAGCTATTTTATCCTCTAGTTAGACACAATACTAATATTTGTTTCTCTTTTTTAGAAAGACAGTCATATTTTCTGCAAATAATATAAATTCATTCTTCCTAATCCTTAAATTTTTTATCATATTTCTTAGGATCTCCAGACTGCTGTTATATATAATGATGCTTACAGGTATTTTTATCTAATTACTGAATTTAAATAAACTGCATTAATGTCTTACTGTAGGTTTCTTTCATATATTGAATCAAAAAAATCTTCATTCAGCACAGGCTTTGTTCCAGTTGCTGCTGACACAATCAGCCAGACAAGATGCCTACCTTTGTAGAATTAGAGTTGCTATCATAAATCAATAATAATTACATAAATATCCTAAGCATTGAAGTAAAGATGTATCAATTTTGAGATTTTACCATTATTTAATATAGTATGCTAAAGAAAAATGAAGTGCTATTTGGACAATTGCTCAAAAGCGATTTAAGACATATTCTGACTTTTTGGTGTAAAATCAATAAAAATAATTGATGAGATAGCTCAAATAAATTAAACATGGAAAATATCAGCTAGTGGAAGGAGCTATTCAGATAATTAAAATAGGATGAATTTTTTGGTGTGATGGTGAATGGGATTGCTTTTTTAGTCTCTCTTTCTGTAAGTTCATTATTAGTTCATAGAAATGCCATAGATTTCTTGGCGTTAATTTTGTATCCTGTTTCATTGCCGAATTCATTTATTAAGTCTAATAATTATTTGATGGAGTGTTTAGGGTTTTCTATGTACAGTATCATATCATCTGCGAATAAGGACAGGTTTACTTCTTCTTTTGCAATTTGGATGCCTTTTATTTCTTCTTCTTGTCTGATCACAATGGCTAGTACTTCCAGTACTATGTCGGACAGGAGTGGTGAGAATGGGCATCCCTGTCTTGTTCCTGTTCTTGGGGAAAACCTAGGAATAAACTTAACTAAGGAGGTAAAAGACCTATATGCGGGAAACTACAGGACTCTGAATAAAGAGATAGAGGAAGACATAAACAGATGGAAGAACATACTGTGTTCATGGATTGGTAGAATCAACATCATCAAAATGTCCATACTACCCAAAGCAATCTATAGATTCAATGCACTCTCCATTAAAATACCAACGGCATATTTCACAGACCTAGAACGAACTCTCCAAAAATTCATCTGGAATAAAAAAAGACCCCGAATAGCTGCAGCAATCCTGAGAAAGAAAAACAAAGTAGGTGGGATCTCAATACCAGATATCAAGCTGTATTACAAAGCCACTGCTCTCAAAACAGCCTGGTACTGGCACAAGAACAGACATATAGACCAATGGAATAGAATAGAGAACCCAGAAATCGACTGTCCCAATTATGCCCCAATTAATTAATTACCTGTCTAGACTTAGTGAGACAAATGCAGGTGACCAGGAGTCAGCAATAACGGCCTATCCCCTGGTACATCAATGTCTAGACCAGGGGTCCTCAAACTACGGCCCACGGGCCACATGCAAATACAAATATTGTATTTGTTCCCGTTTTGTTTTTTTACTTCAAAATAAGATATGTGCATGTCCCAATTATGCCCCAATTAATTAATTATTATCTGTCTAGACTTAGTGGAACAAACACAGGTGACCAGGAGTCAGCAATAACGGCCTATCCCCTGATACTTCATGGTCTAGACAGCTGAGCTGAACCGGAACACAGGAATACACAAGACAGAATTAGTATGCAATCACACAAGGTTTATTTACCTATTTCTAGTGGGTCCTAGGCTCCAGCAAAGGCCACCCGGTGATGCACACCGAAAGACAGACGACGAAGATGGAGACAGACAGGTGGCCACAGTTGGTTCAGGCTCACACAGCAGAGCAGTCAATCAGGGGCTTGTCTCACAGAGCGACGTGGAGTCCTCCTCTCATCAGGCAGGAAACAACCACTGGAGAAAATCTGATGCTTATATAGCCAGTAGTAAACAACTTGTGTCTTACAGTGTGGGCCAGATGGTGTGCCTTTGCTAGGAGCAGGGTGTTTATACTTTAAGGGCTTAGGGCAGGGGTCCTCAAACTTTTTAAACAGGGGGCCAGTTCACTGTCCCTCAGACCGTTGGAGGGCTGGACTATAGTTTAAAAAAAAAACTATGAACAAATTCCTATGCACACTGCACATATCTTATTTTGAAGTAAAAAAACAAAACGGGAACAAATACAATATTTGTATTTGCATGTGGCCCGCGGGCCGTAGTTTGAGGACCCCTGGCTTAGGGCATTCACATCAAGATTGTGCGGTGTTCACCACATTTTGGAAGTTACAGAGTATTGGGGTCTTCACACAGCAAACATTTCACACACAAATCATTTCACACAATAATTATTTCCACATATTAGAGGTGTTTCCTTATGACCATAACATTATTATAACATCGACCCAAACTACTATGCTCAATTAATATTTGACAAAGGAGGCATTAACATACAATGGAGTCAAGACAGCCTCTTCAATAAATGGTGTTGGGAAAATTTGACAGATACATGCAAAAAAAATGAACTAGACCACCAACTTACACCATACACAAAAATAAACTCAAAA